AACAATAACTGCATGAAGGAGCTGCGGTTATGAGCATATTCTTGTACAGTATACCTGATATAAGGGGACCTGTGCACAGAAGTCGATGATCGATAATCTTATCACCTGGTTTACGATGCTCAATAATGGATGTTCGCGTTAAAAGAGGCACAGAGCTGCCAGCTGATCATCATGTAGTTGTTCACATGCTAGGCTTTGAGAAATTGAGCTCCATTCGATCGCCTGCTGGCAGAAGCAACTAGAGAATCAAATGAGAGACGTTATCTTCGGTGGATGCAAGAGCAAAACCTGCAAACAGCATCGCAAGACGGTTTGAACAGATTCCGGTGATGACTGGTGATGTGGAAAGCGAGTGGTAGCTCTTTAAGTGCCTTATATTCAAGGCTGCCGCCGAACGCTGCGGATTTAAACGGATTGGCCTCCAGCCTGGAGGTCAGTAAACAACTCACCTTGTGAACAGAAGGGGTTCAGTTGGCTGTTGTTAAAAGGAGGCTCATTTCAACACATGGCCCGAAGGCAAAGAACCTTCAGCTGGAATACAGTAAGAAGAAGCGCGCAAAACCACGCATTACACTACAGTGAATTCAGTTGTTTTCAAAGCGAAAGCTGATTCATGGGAAAAGTTCTTTGAGTCGAATTTCCAGACGGCAAACAAGGTATTCTGACAAACCTTTAGCCACCGCCATGATGGAATGAAGGGCAGTCTAAGATCCTTGAAGGACAAGTCTGGATGCCCTCTTACAAAGGATGAGGCCAATTTGGGGGAGGGGATAGAGAGAGTACTTCGTGGATCTGCTTAATCATGAGCAACTGCAGGAGAATCGTCTGAAGAACAGAAGGAAACGCGGATTTTCCTTTAGTAGACTAAGTCACAGAAGTTGTAAACAGCTGCAAAAGTTGGTGGGCTACAGAAGTCGATAAAATTCGCCCTGAAACGCTTAAAGTATTAGGCAAGTAGGCATTTTGAGGTTGACACGTGTCTGTGGAACTGTAATGGCTATGG